GGATCTGCCAAGGGGTCAGTTTGACAGTCCGTTAGTCAATGGCTAAACGTGCAACAGTTGGTTGCACACACGTTGCTTTTTGACACGCTCTGCCATAGCAGCAGCAGCTGCAGCAGCAACAGGAGCAGCAGGAGTAGCAGCAGCAGCAGGAGCGTCAGCACAGAATGACAACCGCAGCGACACGGCAATTTCGCAGGCCACTTCGAGTGAGCACAAACAAAGTGGACAAAATGGCTGAGCTGTTGTTGTTGTTGTTGTTCGTGTTGTGGCTTGAACAAATGTTTTTGAATGCCGGTTAAAGAATGTTGAGAGCTCTTTGTGTGCTTGGGTGTATATGTTGCGTATACGTAATTTGGACCTGAAGCAGGTTTTTTTTTAACAATTATCAGAAAATACCAAGTAATGCCGTACCTATGGACATTAATTGGGGACTTGAGAGCAATTTTTGTTAGTGCATACATGAATGCCGTAAAGAATTCATGTAAGTGAAACTTCAGTACCAAGCGAATACAAATTGCGAAAGGGTTGCTGAAATAATTGTTGTACAAAATATGTTGCCTACTTTTCAGGGCCTGAATTGAAAATAGCTATGAAATTTTTGTATTTATTGCATTGAAATGATCAATGACTTCACCCTTAAAACTTTTAAATGTGATAAAGCATCTGAATCAATGCACTCTAGATACTCTAGTCTCCTCTTCATGGGAGAAAAGACAAACAAAAGCGGCCTTCACATCTGAGATATATCTGACTAGACTTTAATTTATTTCGTATAATTTCGCCAGACACTTTGTATTCACAATGCTCCGCTGGCGCCGGATACGGGCGAACTATTAATTTGTTATCCCTTTTGCAATACTGACAAATTCCTACAATTAGAGCAGGCGCCGCTTTTAACGCTCGCTGCATCTTTTGCCGCGCTTCGCAAATATTTGGCGCAATTTTTCATATTAAACGACAGCCAGCGGATGGGAAGTAGCCGAAGTTGAGGAGGAGGGAGGAAGGGTGTGGCGAACAGCAGAAGGTCGCCGGAAAGTGGCACGAATAAAAATTGCAGTTGGGGGCTGTAAAAACGGCGCTCAACTGGCGCCAACTGTGATCAATCTTCATTGCAGAGCCATGCGGGCCGAGGCTAGGGCAACGTGGAGCGGCCTTGCTGGCTGTCTGAGCAGGGCCTGCTGTCCGTAGTCCAGTGGTCCAGTCAGTTGCATATTTTCGGCGCTGCAGGCAACGGCACTCAAGCATGACAAGTCGAACCAGCCAGCTGCCCGGCCCGCGCTTGTACTTGTCAGGGGAAACAAACAAACTGGCAAACAGAGGGAGAGCAATCCTTTTACTAGCCGACATGCAAAGCAAGTGCCGGAAGAAGGAGCAGGAGCAGTGCACAAAGAACTGAGGAAAGAGAAATGGCCAACTAACAAAACAGGAAAATTGCAAAATATTTGCAATTGTCGCCATCGCCGACACACACACACACACATACATATATTTTACACACTAAAAAACAGGCAAACAAAAAAAAAACTAGAAAAAGCTGGCAGAAGCCAACGCTGAAGCAATTGCCGAAATGAATGAAGATGAAGTAGCAGTCGGCATAACGGTACTGCCACGAGAACATGCACATGGACAGGCGCATGGCCCTACTGTTTGGGATTGGCTAGGACTGGGCCGCAAGATTGATAGGTCACCAAAGGCCGTCCAGAGTTCATTGTGCCCCATCCGAGGTAAGAGAATTTATATGCGGTCAATGTCCACCGGCAGGTGCGAGTGCGAATATCAAACAATCTGACATCTTTAAGGGAAATATTATAATAAATATAAATACAAAATATATCACAAATCTACTCGCATAAATTTATAAATTTCCATATCAGAGTTCTTCATTTGCAGGGTATTATAAGTGCGAGCTTTCTCTGCTCTGTTGGATTTAGATTTATATTTTCGCATTTAAAGATTCTTTCAGCCATGAAGAGCTGCTTCTTATTCATCCTCATCTGCTTTGAGCTTTGTAGTTCTGCTGTGATATAATCTGCTATAGTGTTTGCCTTATGCGGTTTGTCTTTCAGCTTTTTTATGCGAATCGCTCACGACTTAGACTCATTTTTGTTTAATTGCTGTTGCTGCAGCAGCTGCATTGTTCGCAGCTCGCCGCTTGTCTTTTGTTGCTCGGCACTTGATACTTTCCACTCGTCACTTTCCTTTCGTTACTTTGGCACTCGCTGCCCTTGGCCCCACTTCTTCGGTGTCGTCTCGTCGCCTCGACACTTGCCAAATGACTTTGGAAAATCTCTTTCATTTCTTTATGGATTTTTTGCTGTTTGTTTTTGTTTTTGACGCTTTTGTTTTTGTTGCTGCTGTTTGCTTCGAGTATTTGCAGTCATTTGTATTACTTTTGTTATCGTTGTTATAGTAGTTGTTGTTGTTGCTGCTGCTGCTGCTGTGTTGGCATTGCATTTGTGCATTGGAAGGCTCTACCAGCCCCACCTCGCCACCTCCTCGAGGTCTCTCATTGTAAATTGCTTTTTGTTTGACAAGTGCTGGGCTTGAAAAAGTGTGTAGGCCCTCTTAGCCAAGAGCTGGCACTGAGGCACTGAGGTACTGTCGCAGTGAAGCAGTGAGAGGGGCAGCCAAACGTTGAGTAAGCCGACGAGCAAAGTTTCATTTTTTACTGCTGCTGTGCAGCAATGTATAAACGAGTCTAAACTACCTGTTTACATAGAACTCTGCCTTCGAGCTAATGAGTTTTGCTGTAATAGAGAAAGTTTTCCCTCTCGTACAAATCGACCAAGCTATCAGCTAAACTAAATTGCAGCAGTCAAAGTTTACGCTGGATGAAACTAGTCTTAGTGGCCTGCTCGACCTGTGACTTATTTATTGACAGGTATTTAATTAAGCTGGTTTCAACGGATATTTAAGCGAGAAATACATGCTAGAGAGTACATAGATGATTAGCTCTTCTGATAGACATATAGTTACATATATTTTAAATTCATTTCCATTCGCTTGTACATAATCATAAATCTCATTCAACTTGTTCAGAGCTCATATCTGTTTGGTGATTATTTCAGTCCGTTTAGCCAAGAATTGCAGAGCAGCTGCTAAAGAACTAAAGCTTCCGAATGAGCAAAGGAGCTTAACTAAATCTTTACTGTTACATTTATTCGAATGCAATTGCCACTGCTGCGCAGCTTACTGCTGGACTTTAAGTACATTTCACTAACTAACTGCCGGGCCAACAGTCTTCAAGTCCAAGAGAAAGAGAAACCAATTTAGGCGAATCCATAAAACCAACATTAATGCCTTAATTTTGAGCTCAACAACGAAAGTTGCCAGCGGAGCGATGAGAAAGAGAGAACAAATGGGAGACTGGGTCAGAGAGCGAGAGAGAGAGAGAGAGGCAGATAGAACCGAAAAACGCGTCTAACAGGCAACTTTTAGCGAAGAGAAAAAATAAAATAAAATTTCGTGCAAAAAGTTTTCGCACGATTTTAACGCATTGCAAAGCGCTGCTTAAGCCATAAAAGTGCTGCCAGGCTTGGGGGGGGGAGGCTGCTGGGGTGTAGGGAAGAAAGTGAGAGGGTTGCACTGAGCAGGGGTCAGGCAGCAGGTTACAAGCAAGCTAACGCCAGCTGTAGGAATCGGGGTGAGCAAAAAATTGGCAGTAGACCTGCGGAATGATAAAAATTTTTAGCGCGACAAGTTTGCTTTTTCAATTTGATGTAAAGCAGGCTTACTGGCCAGGGCCAGGGGTAAGATGTTAACGGGGCGAGAAGGGGAGAAACACACAGAGAGACGCAGAGAAAGATGGGGCTGTTGTAACAGTAACAGTAAAGACGGTTCTGCCTGGGTAGCTACGCGCATCTTGTGCCAGGGGCGCGATGTGCGTGCAACGTAAATTGAAAATTGCTTGAATTGCATTTTTCGTTGAAGACGGCGACTGATGAGGGCCTGCCAACCTAAAGGGAAGCTGAGAGGGAAGTTGAGTTGAGTGAATTCGCAGAAGGCGCTCAGCACACACAGACACACACAGACAGACAGATCAACAGCTGACGAGAATGCGCTTTGGAGGCTGACAACGTGGCGTATGAGCAACGTGCAGCTCAAGTGGCACAGGCCGCCATTTTATGTTTGTTTTGACAAATTCCCAACTGGTATGCAACTCAAGCCTCACACACACACACATACATAAACACATATGCACACCCCTAGCCGCCTCTTAAGTTGCTTGTTTGCGTAATTAAATCATTGCTAGTGACTTTGCTTTATTTGCGCAGCATGTGGGTGAAGGCTATAAGCCCTACGGCTGCAGCTGAACGGCTGCTGCCGAAGTGGAGTAGGAGATTGCCGCAGCGAGCAGCATTCCTTGGGCACGCACATCTCATATCACACAGCGCCGCACAGCCAATGCATACTTCGCGGCCACAGAGCGTAATTGGAACTGCGGATGTGGAAACCAAACAGTGCAAATGACTTTGAGCTGCACTTTTCTGTTTTTTTCCCCTGCTCGGTGCCGCTCCTCGTCGACTCCTTTGTGCGGAGCACTGAATGTGTACAAGAAACTGACATGGTTGCTTATGCCTCGCCTTAGGCGGACTGGGTAATTGAAAAGTGGGGGCGTGGTGGGTGGCGCACTCCATTGCGCTGCAGTATTTATCCCAAACGTACGTTAACGACCAAAGATCGAATGCTCCAGGCATCCGACACTGCGTTGAACACATCGATTGCAAAAGGAGAACGATTGGAATTTTAATTTAAAAATCTTCAATATGGATGAGCTAAGAAAAAGAATTAAGTAAAAGCGAGTGTTATGAAAAACACAAACTCTAAATTATTGACAGTTTCTAATGCAGAATCTAACCTAAATAGAAACCAGACTTGGCCAAGTTGTTAGAGCTTAAGGCATACGACGAGCTCCAAATATACAAACTCTAAATATTTTATGGCAAACTTTAAATAGAAGTACAACTAAACACTTATTCTGCATAGTACATTAAACTTACCTTTTAAAAACTAAATTTGTGGCTGAGTTGATTTAATACTGTAGATACGCTTGAGCAGAAGCTGCAATGAGAAGAGAAGAAACAATTGATTAAATATGAGTATTAGCATATGTTTAACAGCTATGAAATCAAAAAATCTTTTACTTTTAAGAGATCTATTATATAAAGTTATAAACTTATTTTATCATTATAATGCATTGGGCACGTCCCAGCTCCCAGTTGATTGCTCGCAAGAAAGAGTGAATTAACTAAAAAGTTTTCCACAATTAATGTGCTCGCGTCATTTGCATTTCCATTTGGAAAGTTATTTAAAGCAAATTTTACTTCAACTTTACCGTTCGCCTCAACCATTTGCCATTTACTTTTGATTTTTGTTAGTTTGTTGTTGTTGTTGTTGGTTTTGTTTGCATTATTTATTTTGAAGCTGTCAACTGCCTAAGTCCCCAGGGTGCTGTCATTTGCACCCCTTTGCTCACCCGCTCAGCCCCTCGACCGACCGACCGCCCGCCCGCCCGCTTTGACTGTCTGGTTGACTAATCAAGCCGAATGAAATGAAACTTTTTCCATTTAATGCCCATAGTTGTTACTGCTGCTGCTGCCACATAAAAAGTTCTATAAAAATTGTGATAAATATCCAGAGTGACCTGCGAGACACGAAGGGCCAGACAACATTTGCTCCGAGGGTTCCACACAGATATTCAAAACTGCAAATAGGACACAGCTTGAGCCCGGCTTCTTCTTCTCCTGCTGCTGCTTCTCCCAGGACGAGACAATGTAAAGAATGAAGTAAACGAGTCGAGACATTGCAATTGATAAGCAGCAACAACAGCAATTGCAGATGGCCCGGAGCAAGGATATATTAAAGGATAAACAAGTTATGTCAAATGCTAGAGATGGCAGCGTGAGTCGAGCAAACAACGAAATATGACTAGAAATATTTAATAAATACTGCAAATATTTGCTGATCCCATGTACAAATAGGGAAATAGAGGATGCACCTTGACAGCAGGATTAAAGATTTTTCATAAAAATACTAGAAATATGTGCGAATTGCATTGGCATAGGTGGCCTTTGTGCTTTGTGGGCGAGCATCCTGCCTTTTCCGGCTCGGGGGTTTTTCTCTTCTCTTTTCGCATCTTGTGCAAATATTTATGTAAACAAGCAAAATGCATTATGTGCCCAGTGCTGTCTTTATTATATTTCCAAAAGGCAGCAAACAAATGGCCAAAGTTCAGCAAGGAGTCAGCAGCAGGCAGCCAGGCAGCCAGGCATACAGGAAACAGACAGCAGTCGGGCTAGCGCGGGACTGGGGGATTGGCGGGGGGTGGTTTGCCTGGTTGGTTGGTTGGCTGGCAGCGAGCAGCCGTTAGCAGCCAGAAGCAACAGCTCTCCAATTGAAAGTCAAAACAAACGAGCTGCAGTTTGCCACACCCACACACACACACACACACACACACACACATACATCCTGCCATTGTCTTTGGGCATATAGTTTTGGCTTTCGGCACGTTTGCCATTATGCATATGCTTCCACATATTCTCTATCGTTGTCTCTTTCACTCTCCTTCTCTCTGGTTCCTTTGACTTGCCTGCAGCCGGAAACGGAAATGAAGCACAAAAGTTGCATAGCATAAGCTGCGCCCAGGCACAACCATAATAGTTAACTACATGCATGAGGCTAACTTTTTCATCTTTTTTACTTTTTTTTTAATTCTGCTTAATGTTTACTCGTTTTACGTTTCTTTCCGACCATTATTTAAAATTATTTTATGACCAGCTCTGACCATGATTTACTTATAAAAGTCCAGCCATAATTCATGCTGCGGACTAATTGTCTGCAAAAATGCTACGAAACCCGGAGCTTAATTGAAATGCGAGCGGGCAAACTGTTTGCAGCCGGACTCAAGAGCTGGGCACATGTTTGGCTTCTGTTTATGAAGGCAGCCCTAAATTAAGTGCTTAGTCAAAGTGTTGGCACATTGCGCATACGTCACGTTGACTGCCCCAGCAAGTCGTCCAAGTTGCTCCTTGGTCCCCTTGGAAGCTGCAAGTCAATTTATGACCGCATGTGAGTGGGTAAACGAATGAAATGTGAATAAACTCAGTTGCTACTCCCACTCAGTGTGGCAAAGGATTCAAGAGAGGGAAAAAGAAGTCAGCTTATGGAAGTCAACTATGTCAAGGTACGTTTTGAGTCAAGTTATCTTTTATTATGATACAAGTTGTGTTTGCTCGAGCTGTGCCTGGGGCGGAGTAATACATAAATGAGTATATTGAGGGGTTTTATTGCTTGTTTTTACTATTTGCTATCATCACATTCATTTAGAAAGTTCTAATAAGCACATAATTAGCTAATATCCAATCAGCGAATGTATAGCGTAGCTTCAGATCTTTTTCTTTTTGTTTTCTTCTGTTCCTTTCATTTTTGTGCGTTGCTCTCGTTTATCTCTCTTGCAGATTGATTTTTTATCTTTTAATGGCAAAAGCAGCGGCAAAGTGCCTTCTTGACTTCGATTTATTACAGCTCTTGGCTGCCAACAATAAATCGTGGCCATCTTCAGGCTGATGCTTTTGTTGTTGTTGCTGTTGTTGTTGCTGCTGTTGCTGTTGTTGTGCTTAGCCTGTCTGTGGCAAGCTCTTGTATTCCTGTGGCTCGTTTCTTCAGTCTCTTGTCTTTGTTGTATACATATGTGTCACATGCATTATCTATTGTTGTTTAGCGCCCCACACAGTCGTCTGCCCGTCTTCATGCCTGATTTTGACAACAGACCGTCCCCCTCTCTCTCTCTTCTCTGCTCACATTTACATGCTTGGGCGCATTAGTCGAAGGTTTTGCCATTCTCTGGTAAATCATTTTCGTGCCAATTTCATCGGGCCCGGTCTTTGGTAGAGTTCATTGAAATTCTATGCGGAATATGAGCTGCCTGCCATGCATACATAGTTGATTGGTTGTTGTATATTATTCAAAACTGAGTAGAGTCCTGCCACAGAATTTGCACATATTTCATGAACTAGAATCGCACAGCTTGTCGGCTCACTTTGGTTGGCTTTAAGTGCATGTTATCTCTTTCAATTAAGCCCTCAAGCTTGTGCCCAGAATTTAACACATTGATGAGCACTGGCGCATCACATTGTCTGTTGCAGTGCCACGCCCACTCTCTGCTAGCTTGTCAACAATAACAACTGTCGAACATGATAAATTAGTGAGTGTGTCAGGCAGTTGGTTAGCAGGCGCCCGGATTACCCCTTGGGCGTCATTCTTTGGTCGGGTTTATGCGCTCAACTGCATTTTTCAGCACAGCCAACTATAGCCACCTTCTGTGCTCCGCTCCCACCCACAACCACAATTCCCCTTTGCCCGCTGGCCCCCACGACAGTGGCTTGCATTGATGTCGCGTTAATTTGGCACCAGCTGCCAAATGTCAAAATGTCAAGTGAACAAAATTCCGCATCATGAGAAATGCATGTTCAAGCGGGCGTGCCCAGTGGGTGGGTATGTGTGTGTGCGTGTAAGTGTGTGCGTGTAACCGAAACCCCTGCCCAAAAGACTGCTACTCCCCGTATCTCTGCCCGCCATGCCCACACAACGTGCGACTCAACAAGCTGAATGCCTGTGTGAAATAATTATCGAGTTTCCCTCTAAAAGCCCCTACCCCAGCTATCCCCTCATCATCATTATGATAATACCCATTATTAGCAGTTGCAAGCACTTCCAGGCTTCTGCATTTGCATTTCTCTGCCACGGCTCAGAGCACTGTCCTACATACGCAGCGAAGTTTCCAAAGTCAACTAACTTTGCGGCAAGGCAACAAACTTGGTAAAACTTTGATTTTTCTTGCACATCTTAAGATATAATTTGAGTACATACATATATAATAAAAATCTGTCAATAAAGAATATTAAGAAAAAAAATGGACAAATGCTAATACTTTTCATATGAATACAAATGATTTAAATAAAACATATTAAAGTTAAGTTGAGCAGATTCCTAAGCTAACATACGAAATTATTCGTTTGATGTTTACATATCATATGTAAATACATAAAAATATTATTAAATATATCTGATGTTATAGTTGTGAAGCAATTACCCAGCAAATAGTTGAGCACATTGAAAATCATAAGAAAATCTATAACAACAATACTAGAAAAGAGAGATTTATGTATGTATTATTATTGTTATTTATTTTTGTTTTTCAGATTTAAAAGCGGTATTCGACATGACAACAACATTTGTAATTGGCATTTTCTGTAAATGGTTTATATTAAAGGTCCGAATTAGCTCCTCAGATACTTTTCCAACTCCCACTTCCAAGAGCTGTGTTGGATAGTGTTGTCATAAAATCCACCGCAAAGCATGACGCGTCATGTGTTTGAGAGCAACTGTAGTTACAGATTCACATAGAGTCTGCAGTCTGCCGCCCACGACAAAACGCCCTTGATTTATGTACACATTATAACCAATTACATGAGCCGGCTAAGCAGAAGTGCCAGCGGCAGTTACGACTCCAAGTCTAATTCCGACTTTGAATGGCAAACAGGGGGAACAGGGCGTACGGGCGGGGGAATTCATATTTTGGGGCGCTAATTGAATTAGCGGATGCTCAGTTGGCGTTCTCCTCTTGGGGTTATGGTCGTGATTTCATGATTACATTTGCCTCACAACAGCCGTAGCTGGGCGCTGGGGGGCTGAGGGCTACTCGGCCTGGATGGAATGTTTGTCTGTGATTGCAGATACACCGTTAGTCGGGATTTGCGTGCCGATTGTGCCATGTCACACATTGAAGGCGGGAGTCGGAAGTCACTTGTAAATCCTATTGAGCATTGAATATAATTAAATTCCAGGTGGCAGCAGCAGGATTATCCGCCAGTTATGGGCGGCTAAATGCATCTCAGTTAATAGAGCCATGAAATTGGCCATCAAACAATTTGCTGCTAGCTGCTGCTGCTGCTGCTGAGTGCACCAAATTAGATATAACTGCTCCTTAGGTAATTGCCTCAAGTTAGGCAGATGGCAAACCCGATTATGACAGGCAACTGATTAAGCTGCACTTGATTAAC